GTCTGACGCCGGTCATGATGATGATCATCGGATTCATAGCCACTTTATACGTATATCTGGGTTCAGGACCGATGTGGGGATATGCAGGTCTGGGAACTCCAAAAGACTGTCAAGACTACTGGTGGTGGAATCTGTTGTATATTACAATCTGAAAGATATGGACGTCCAGTGCTTGGGGCAGACCTGGTACCTGGCCAACGACATGCAGATGTTCATTTTCTCTCCGCTGGTCCTGCTCCCGCTGTACCACTGGCCTGTTGTAGGTCAGCTGTGGCTCATCTTCCTCGTCTGTTTCTTCACCGGTATCAACGCCATGATTACAGCGATCCACAAGCTAGGGCCAGATGGACCTGTGCCTGGAGGGGACGACTTCGACCTGCGCTACATGAAGCCGTGGACAAGGGCTGGACCTTACTTGGTGGGGCTGTATATGGGGTGGATTCTGCAGAAGATTCGCGGCCGCAAGATCCGCCTTCCAGCGCCTGTAGTCGCCATCGGCTGGATCACGGCTTCCCTCACCGGCTGCCTCATTGTTTACGGCATGTTCGACTACGACAGAGTTGATGCTGGACATGCGGACCCATCCAAAACCACCAGCATAGTGTACGCCATGCTGAACCGCACCGCCTGGAGCGTCTGCTTGGCCTGGGTGGTGTTTGCCTGCGTCACTGGATACGGCGGAATCGTCGACACCCTTCTCTCATGGAAAGCCTTCATTCCACTGAGCCGGCTGACCTACGCTTCCTACCTCGTGTCTATCGATGTTCAACTTTACTACTGGTTCACAAACAAGTCAGCTATGTACTTGAACCAAACGCTCTTAGTCTACGTGTTTCTTGGCTCACTGCCGGTGATCTTCACTGTCGCTGCCATTTTCTCCCTGGCGTTCGAGTCACCAATGATAGCGTTGGAGAAGATCATCTTCCCCCAGCCGCCCAGGGCGGCATCCCCCGCTCCTCCTCAGCACACGGGTACCGAGCCCGGGACAGAGGCGGCCGTGCCGGGTCAAAACGGCAAGATCAACGCAGGCGTTGAGGAAGATGTCGGCGCGCCACAAACAGAGCACACGCAGCCGTACTCTCTCGTGAACAAGGAGTCAACTGGGCAGGTCGAAGCAATCAGCAAACTGACTACACTAGTAGCCACACCGGACTACCCCACCGTATAATGATTATATACTGATCCGCAACATGATCGGCACGCCGCACAAGTCAGAGTCAGTCATACGGGATGCCAACTGAACAATTTAAAAGAAATACATGCGGCCTTAATTTGGGTTCCTTAATTCAATTTTGCAGTTTTATCTTCATGAATATGTTTGTGTTTGCAAGCCTGTCTCTAAGGTATGTATGTATGCTTATTCTTGTTCAATAAAAATATAACGTATGAAACATGACTGCTTATTTCAGTGCGTTCTCGAATAATATAGCACAACTTCATCAAGCCAGGACATTAGCGCGGGACGGGACAACGAATTGCATCGACGTTTGTGATGTCTACGCTGACGTATGACAGTTTGGTCCAGAAGTGAAGACATTGCCACATGCTGCTGCTTTATTTTGTTTGCTCTTATTTGTCTAAACAGCTGCTTAAACTATCGTCTGCCTCAGATTGCTTGTAAACGTTGCTGCCGTAACAGGTTCGTTGTTTTCATTCGCATGAAATACTTTACAATGTGTTTTCTGGACATTTATTTAGAAACAAAGCAAATAACTGAAATATTCGTATGGGTGTACCTAATAAAAAGGAAAGTTTCTGTTGAAAGCAGTGACGGTTATGGTGTGCTACATACACCGTGGTAAGCATCAGGTGACTTCTACAGAAGAGAACGTGCATATATGACCAAGCATAAAAAGCGTTGAGAGTAAACTGATGCAATGCCAATATGGTGCCGATCTTTAAAAAGAGAACCAAAATATGTGTCAGCAATTACAGGCCTGTCGGTCTAACCTCACTAATATGCTAGATCTTGGATAAATTCATTACGGCTAGCATTCAGTCAAACTCAGCAGTGGCAAAACTTGCCGACTTGCTGGATAAGGTTGACGGCAAAATGTCTATTTTCATGCGACGCTTGGTGCGAAAAATGCTTTTGACCAGCAGTTTTCGTGACGGCCACAACAAAACATTACCGAGGGTATTCCACAACCTTACATGGGCTTCACTGGTAATACATTTCATCACACAACACCAACAAGCCTTTGCGTAAATACTCTTTACCGTACCCTCCGGCCCTATCGTATCTATGTCAGGCTTCATCACATCCCAGCGACAAAAATATCCTATGATTTTGGTCGGTCGCTTACTTTGGTGACAACTCGACGACAAATCATTCGCATTTAACTGCTCCTTGTTTTTCCAACGTGGATGATCTGCAGTGTTTTCATTATACCTATTTGTCAAAATGCTAGCACTACGAAAGCTTGAAACAATTCGCAGAGGAAAAAACTGCAAAACTGCAAAAACTGCGTGATGGTATTATCCTACGAACTCAACGAAATGTTACACTACGGCTTTGGTTTCTCCCGTATGGCGTTTACCACAGTGGCTCTTTTCGAGGCGCACTTTGCCTTGGAAATGGGATTATTACATGATAGCCACGCACTGGCTCAAATTTCAACCAAAGCGCTTCTTGGTAACTTGCTCTAGCGGTGAAAAGTGCTTTTTTTGTCACCGACGAAACTTGGAGCAGCCTAAATGGTCACCTGGAGTCATGTTTGCCTGAAGCAATTGCAATGTAACTTTAAAGGCGCTAAACCAAGCAAAACAGGGATAAATCAGATCAATGCATTATAAACATCAAAGTTGGGACGATTTCGGACGTTTTTTTAACGAAATTTTCATTTGCTGGCCGTGCCTAAGGTCCCGGTGGTTAGGACCCTAGTCTCAGTGCACGAGTGGCTGGCGCAGCTGGCTTAAGGCAAATGAGCACGCTAGTTCGGCTCAAACCTAGGCGTTGCATGTACGGAGAAAGGCAAGAGCATGTATAGTCAGCGCCCGTATCCAGGCCATAAGTGGCAAGTAACAAACCCTATGCGCTATTCCACGTCATACCGGGGTCATACCAGTGTTGGAAAAATATTTCTCGCAGGGTTTAATCAATCCACAAGAATACACATCCACCGCATTTTTATCAGATCGTACACTCTTCCTAACGTGGGATACATTTTCTCGGCTCAGAATTACTACGTTGTTGCATATCATACCTATGGTGTGTGTCTAAAACTGCAGTATCAAACGAAATCCCACAGCTTTTCATGGTTACCAAATTCAGATTCCTAGCCTTCACAATTCACGTCTGGGAAATATTTCCTCCCTAATCCATAACCACCAACCAGAAATCCAACTCTGGATATTGGGTACCCTATGTAATGGTCTGGGTTTGAAGGGCAGGGTCAATATATGTGTAAAAAGCCGTGTTCAGCGTCGTTTGTTGATTATTTCGGATTTCAGATGATGCGACCACTTCGTCATGTGACAATCCTGTTTAAAATTGTCGTTTCAGCATCGCTCATGGAAAAAATCGCGACGTTTTAACTAGCATTTCGGTAGCTTATATAGGTTGATCGCACGTAGCGCTATTAAGTTGTAATCATTTGTAGGAACGATGGGTTGGTCATGTTCTTCAAGCAAAACGAAATATGTTTAAGACACATATCTCCACCCCTCGATATAGGTATGTGACACCCACTTACAATATCATCCCAGAAACATTTCAGCAAAAAAAAACATTTACATCAAGCTTGCTGATGCTTTATTAATCTATCACGTAGCGTAACAATTACCGGAGTGGCGGTCATCTTGCAACACAATGTGTTTGGAGAGAGGGGAATGTCCCTATCACCGTTGCCATTCAGTGTCACACGCAGTGTAGTTCTCGGCCACCACACTGCCGGCGCACTGGCAGTGCACACGGATATCTGACGCGCTTTTTTAGCGCCATCCAACCGGAAAGTTGCCCTGATCATTTTGTCTGTCGAAGTCTGAAAAGGCCGCGGTAGAAACAGCCAAAGCTAAACCGACTATGACATTTATCACGATGGAGCTGTCAGACAGATACCTAAGGTATTACGAAATATTAAATGTATAAAACTATGGGGTAAGGGGCAAAACCCCTGGTTTATTGCGATGGCCGTCAAAATGTGTATAACCATTACTCCACTGACGCTTATGCTAGCTGTGCAGCGCATTAGCAAGGAATATTATTCACATGTATAAGACAGTGTTGTTAGCATTATTCCTGAGCAGAGAAAACAGGAGAATAGAGATACAGTTGGGTTGATATTTCGGCAACATGCCTGTATCGAAACAATAGCAGAAGTGAACTTTTAATGGCCTGCAGATGATCTCACTCGATTTTTCAGGTTTTCTTTTGAAACAGTAAGCCACAGTTTTTACAGGACACCAACATTCAGGGAATTTAACAAAGAGCGATTGCCAGCGATTACCACCATACAGTGCCTATCTAAGAATTAGAATAGCTAAAATGCGTGTCCATACAAACGATTTCAAGCAAATAAGCGTCACTCATCACACTTCATTCAAACATGTAAGCGAGTTGAAGTTAACAGATATCATCTATCGCGCATCAGTTATACATGCAAGCGATTTCAGTTGAACAGGCATCGCACATCACGCGTCAGACATCACTTATTGCCGATATAGGACAGTAGCTTGCTACTTTTTTAACCTGAAAAACCGAGTAGGATCATCGGCCAGTAATTTTGCATTCACTTTTGCTGTTGTTTTGATAAAGGCATGGTACCGAAATATCAACGCAACTATAACTCTATTCTCCTGGTTTTTCTCCGACGAATAAGACTAATACTACAGTGACGCTTATGTTTTACCGCCATGCCTCCATAGCGTGGCGGTTTGTTGTGTTGTCATTTACGTTTGCAGTGCCTAATGATTTGATCCCATGGTGCCAAGCTAGAAAGCATCGAATCACAAACAGGCATGTGATTTCACAACCAAAACGCTTCCGGAATAAAATTCACCAACTATTAATTAGAGTCTTAACAGACAGCATCTTTTGTCGAGACGTCAGTTCGATGGAAGTAACGACAATAATACGCTTTAGCCTAGTCTTTCTGACATGTTAACCATATTCGATTTCATACCGAATTAGGTCACTGCTAAAAAGCCACCTTGTTTGAAAATGGTTTTTGAATACCTCGCAAATGCGGCTGGTGTGCTTCGGGCAAATGTTTTGCCGCGCACCTATCCACTGCACCGAGCTGCTGTCGGTCGAAGGCATGAGCTGGTTAGCCATGCCAGCTCGACTTTAAAGCGCACTGGAAACACAATAGTAAGAACCTTGACACGAGATAAAGATGAGCTTGTTCATACTTACTGGTCGTCGTTGACACTATCGCGGAATATCGATTGCTCACGTTGCTGTATCTGCTAATCTCTTTCAAGGATCGGCATGGGAATGACCTAGATATAATCGTAGACCCATGATGCTGAAACCCGTGCGAACGGACTTCATCAAGCATTCGGAAGTATGATTTCCTGGTGAGCTGCCGTCTTTGCCACCACGTGATTTGCCGCCACCTGGTGGTGGAGAGTGGAAGCCATCTAGCGCCGTCAGCAGAGACTGCAACGCCGCGTAGCGATGTGTTTGCGCTTGAAGACATCGCCATGAATAAGGCAGTGAAGGCGACGTGTTCGCGCTATTGCAGGGCACGCGCGCGTCATACTCTATGCATGAGCAAGTTTGTTCACTGTCAGCACACCCTAATGAACAAGCGTGTGTTCACCACCACTTTAGATAGAAGGGAAACACCAGCAGATCAGGCCGCCGGACCGCAGGGTCGGATGCTCGGAAAACGGCTGGAGGATAATACAAAACGAAACCGGTACACATGGTTGGTGGGTCCTCCGCGGAAATTCGAAACCCGTATGAAAAAACAAAAATGCCTGTGACAAGCTACTGCAAAGCTTAAAACCTTCAACAAAATGGCATGAAACGGGGGGAGTCGTGCCACCAGAACTACAGATGCGTTCAAACTTCCAGCCCGACCAGCCCAGTGACAAAACGGGCGAAAATGCTTGTAATCGAACAGGTGGTGGGGCCTCCCACTGGCGGACATCGTGCTAATCGTGTGCCGTCGACTGCCAAATATGGTCATGGCGGCTCCGACCGGCACCAGCTAATCTCATCCGATGGATAGTGGCGACGATGCGGGCCGGCCCTTACATAGAAAATCCAATGGTACAACAGCCGGTTATCGGGGAAACTGCACAACGATCCCTGGCGCAGCACCCCTTCATCGGCAGCCGGCTGTATGAGAAACTGCATAACGATCTCTGGCGCGGCGCCCCCCCCCCCCTTCCAATCGGCAGCCGGCTGTATGGGAAACTGCATAACGATCTCTGGCGCGGCACCCATCCATTGGCAGCCGGATTGGACCACAGCACAGGGGAGCGACTCAGTCCGTTCAGTAAACTGCATAGCGATCTCTGGCGCGGCACCCATCCATCGGTAGCCGGATTGGACCACAGCACAGGGGAGCGACTCAGTCCGCTCAGTAAACAAGTACGGCTAGAAGGAAGAGCACTGTACTATATGAAATAGAATCCATATCCATAATCCACACAGTTTTCCATGTGGTTAAGAAATCCATGTAGTTTGTCTGGTGGTAGTGTAATGACAGGGGTGTTCATTTGTATGGATGACTAGGAGTGAGGTAGCATCTAGGCCTCACAACCTCCCTCCTCGAAAGGTAGTCGCCATAGGATTTAATCTGCTTTGTTTGGATAATCTACTTTCTGAATATGTTTGCTTTATTTATAACAAACAGGATTATTTGAGCAGCATAATAGTAATGGTCTGTGCATGAAACCGAGGGAACGTAGGTTTTATGTTATAGTCAGCTTTTTCTCATGTATTTTTGTAACCCCCCAGCAGTAGCAGTATCGTGTGTAGGGAAATCAGCAATAGGGGCCCAACTCAATATGGAGTTTAGTAGGCCACATGAATTGATTTGACTTGATACTGCTTTCGATTCCCCGCGGCGCCCGCCTTCCTGCCAGGGTGAGAGGCAGGCGACGCCATATAGCCTCAGCAGCTGAGTGCGTCGTAAAGCCCCAATCACACACACACACACACACACACACACACACACACACACACACCCACACACACACACACACACACACCACACACACACACACACACACACACACACACACCACACACACACACACACCACACACACACACACACACACCACACACACACACACACACACCACACCACACACACACACACACACACACACACACACACACACACACCCACACACACACACCACACACACACACACCACACACACACACACACACACACACCACACCACACACACCACACACACACACACACCAAACACCACACACACCACACACACACACACACACACACAACACACACACACACACACACACACCCACACACACACACAACACACACACACACACACACACACACACACACACACACACACACACACACACACACACACACACACACACACACACACCACACACACACACACACACACACACCACACACACACACACACACACACACACACACACACACACACACACACACAACACATATATATATATATATATTATATTATATATTATATATATATATATAATACATAAACATGTGTGTGTGTGTGTGTGTGTGGTGTGTGTGGTGTGTGTGGTGTGTGTGTGTGTGTGCGTGTGTGTGGTGTGTGTGTGTGTGTGTGTGTGTGTGTGTGTGTGTGTGGTGTGTGTGTGTGTGTGTGTGTGTGGTGTGTGGGTGTGTGTGGTGTGTGGTGTGTGTGTGTGGGTGTGTGTGCCGTGCATTCATAATGGCATGACCTTGTGGTGTGGTTTGCTGCATAATGAGAACACAAATGAAATGCACTGTCGCATGTTTCCCGTCAACATTAGTGCGATAACGCAAAGGTACGGGAACAATCCACTGACAGACAAACAACATGTGTTTGGCCATGCTGCATGGCCGCTACTCTATTCGGGTGCTGACTTCGAAACCCATAACGGCTTCGAAATGCAGGCACCCCATGAACATTCTGGGGTAATTTGTAATCTTTTGCATCTTAGGACCACCTCACAGGTAAAACAATGGCCGGTAATGAAGTTGCCTGGTATCGCGCAACGACGTCCTACTGGAATTTTCAGGCGGCTTTCAACCGGACGGCATATCCATGAACGACCGGGTTTGTTGCATACTCTAAATCAGAATCCTAGAACTGCGGACTTTGGGTGTAAGCAACACCTATGAGGAAGAATTTTTCACTCCTTTTCCCCCACAGTTTATGTAAATTTTTCACTCCTGCATGACATGGTCTAACCGCACATGCCAAACCCCTATTTCCCTTTCTGAGGTTTTAAGATGTCGCCCAAAACCGAGCTCACTTGAAACCACCAAGCATGAACAAGGCTCCACAGAACCTGGACACCTATGGCCATGTCCCGTCTCACCTACATCTGACTCATGTCTATGTATGCACGGAGCAAGGGCGCCAGGTACCTTCAAGTCCAGGAACCCCAGCGACTCCAGCCGCTTGCACTCATTAAGTTTCATTGTTTACGAAATGCATCACGATCGGCAGCTGTGTGCCAAGTGCAAGGTTTTCACGCACCCCTAATTTTTTTGGTCTCACCACCACACCACGAAAGCAGAGCCTAGCGCAAACACCAGCAAGGCCCAGTAGAGAGTTTTACTCCATGTATGTCTTTTACCCGAAGAGAGTTGACCTCTAAATTGCATTACTCTCGAAATGCAGAAGTGAAAAATTCAGAAATGTCTTCTAAATGAAGCTTACAAGTTGAATATCACCATTTGTGCACTGAGGTTAACAGATTTTAAGTCAAA